TGACGCGGGCTCTGGCTCGTTTATGCGTCAGCCTCCTGTGCCAGCAGGGTGACGGAGGGTAGGAAGCTATGGCTCAGGTGTGCTCTTGCACAAAGGGGCCTGGCAATGCGACTACTGGGGACGCTCGATCCGAGACCCTTACTAAGTTGCGGTTATATAAAGGCGGTGACCTACTTCATCCGTATCTGGTTTTCTACGGCAACGCCGAGGAAGGGTACGCTCTGTTGATCAAGCGCTGAAGGTGGCAAAGAGCAAACTGCTGGCGAACACTCAAGTCCGTCTACATCATGTGAACCATTGGAACCATACCGTTCTCACGCTCCTGTCCTGGCTCTTTTTCTAAATCTCGCGTGCTCCAATGCAGGAGCCACACTGTTGAGTTCCTCCCCCCTCCACTAAATGTAGGAAACTCAGTGATCAGGAAAGGATTTTGAGGTACATTGTTAGTTCTGCTACAATGTGAACATAAAGGAGCTTTACCTGTTCCTACCCTGATCCCTAGACCCTAAACCCTTGTCCCTGCCCTTAGGTAAGCCTGAATCCTGAACCCAGCCGGCCTCGCATCACCGGGCGGGTACAGCCACAGCCGCTTGGTGCCGCAGACACAAACCATCAGGTTCCTCCGGGCCGGATTTTTGGCGGGTTTTTGGAGGCCTTCTTATAGAACCCTGTTATGGAATGCTTCTTATTCCTTAATTTATAGAACCCAGAATATAGAACCTATTCCTCAGAAAGGTGGGATAAAGGTAGGTAGGATGAAGGATCCCTTGTTTAAGGACTCATCTTTTGGGATTTACATCACCTACCTTCATCCCACCCTGGGAGCCCTTTGAGGTTTACGGCCTTGAGGGTTTTACCTCCCGAATCCGGTGGTGTCTCTCAACTGGGCAAAAGCTTATGCGGTTGGTGGTTGGTTTGCAAAGGGGCCTAGCTGGAATAGGCTCTTTACAGTCCGCATATACATAGAGAGAGAGAGAGGATGGTATACACTCTGCACTTGCTAACCGTCGGCACCTTGCTGGAACAGTTGGCATTGGGGTCTAGGAAACCGGTAACCCCAAACCCCTAAACCCCTTGTTTGCATCCAGGCCTCTTGCAGTCTTGCCGGGGCAGGGCGAGTTAAGCAGCACTCGTGGCTACACCCCTAATCCCTAAACCCCTTGTGCAACTGACTGGCAACATCACGCCAGGACAGTGACCCGTTCCCCTAACCCCTAAACCCTAAACCTTAATCCATAATCCCTAAACCCTAACCTCTAATCCCTAACCCCCAAACCCTCAACCTTAATCCCTAATCCCTAGACCCTAATCCCTAAACCCCTAAACCCTAAAACCCTGGATATGCCGTGCAATTAAACTGAGGAATCTAGGACTCTATGAGGATGAAATAGGAGTCGTCTGAAAAATTATTCAGACCTCTCCGTTAGATTTGTTTACAGGGTCAGAGTCTCAGGCCAAGAGGTAGGAATATGGCCCGCGTCTTGGTAAAAACACGTCTGGGCACCAAAGCTGCAACCGGGGCTCTCGTGGCAGTCATAATGGACCTTGGCTGATATGTTGCAACACCGCAGATCTATCCTGATCGAACAAAATCCTAGTCCCACAAGCGCTGCACTTCGCACGCATGCATGAAATAGGAAAACCCTAAATACCACAAAATCGAGCAGATCGACTTCCCGTACACACACCCAAGTCTCTCGACATTACATTTACCCGCGGCTCATTGATGGCACCCATAACCCAGAGAACCCAATACCCCTTAATGAGGGAATATACCTTGAGTCATAATATTAGAGCCCCTATAGTAGATTCCTTAATTAAGGGGTATTGGGCTCAAAGTGAACACCACCCAACGGAAATAGCTTAGCAGCTAACCCAGCGGCCCTACGAAAGGTGATCCCGAAATCCTAAACCCCAAGCCGATAATGCATGTCACAAGTGCTGAGCTCTCTAAGATCTTAAACATCAACCACGAGCCGACGTGAACCAGTGGATTTCAGAATTTGTGTTGAAGATGTGGGTAGTTTTCTAAGTTAGGTCCCTCTTTGGATCCCCAATATAGTACGGCACCCTTATAAAAAGGACCCCGAAAGGGACCCAGGTTTAGAGAACTACCCATTTGAGCGAACAAAGGAAAGACGAGAAGAGTTGGAGTGCAAATGAAGGACGCTCAGTGCTGGGACTGCGTCTGCTCTTGCTCTAGGGCAGAAGGATAGCATAAGATGCGTTGGAGTCGAAGACAATCCAAGGTTTGGGGCAAGGTTAGGGTTTGGTGGTGATTAAACCCTGAGCCGTTTTTGCCCTAAACCCTTTCTTGAAGCAGGACTCTACAGCTTTTCCTGCCCCTCCAACCCTCAGCAGGACCCCTAAACCCTAAAGCACCTCGTTTGTAAGGCATGTGAGTATTGAAGTTCACTGCCCCGAGCCGAAGTGGTCTTCATTGAACCAAGGGGCTGATGTGGAGTTGCGGCCACATCCAAAATACGTGAACACGCCTGGCACAATACCATCCCACATGTCTGAGCGTTTCGAGCCGAAGGATACGAGTGGGGGGGAAGGACAATCGAAATCGTTTCAGAACCATCTATCAACCAACAAGTAACCCTGCATGCAATTACCCTCTGGAAATCTTCAAGAATGTTTAGCCTCCACGTCCGAGCTTTTTCTGGAACATTGCTCGCCGTCGCAGAAACCATTGATGTTTAGAGAGTTTCCAACAACTCTTGTATGACTTCTGTGGACTCCTGAACATCCGCTGAATCACCGCGGAAATTTTCAGCGTGAAGTCCAGAGATGGTTCTTGACGAACAAGCCCCAACAAACAAGCAAACAAACAAACAAGAGTTTTGGTTTAGACCTCTCAGCCCCTTCTTTTGCAACAGGCCTCGTTGTCCAGCAGCCCGGTCTAGCCAAAAACACACTCCCCTAACCCACAGCAAGGAGGGCATGCCAACTGACACCTCTGAAGCAACTACCTGAAATATAAGCAATCTACTAAACTCACTGATTACTGCGGTGTGAAAGGACATGAACTCCATGATCTCCATGACATAGGCTTCGAAACCCCACCGCTCCAGGAAGATTTCAACGCTGATCCCGGCATAGTCCTTTTGTAAATGTGCCTAAACCGGCACTCCCCACATGTTCGTGGACGTCTTCGTGCTGGCCTTCTGGCAGGAGGTCGCCGAAACATCCTCCGTACTCCTTAGCTTTGTGCCCAAGGCTTCACGGTTCAGTGGCTAGTGTAGAGACTTTAGTGAACAAGTAATGCAGGGCTTGGCCCAATGGGGGTACATTGTTTAGAGTCTAGTTATGTCGGGGCTATAAGGGGATACTATCAGTACCGTAGGTATGAAGTCTCCTTATTAGATAGGATCCGTTAGGGTTAGGTGCATTTTCAGTACGGATATAGCCGACAAAGCCCGAACCTTAAACAACTTGTCTGGTGTCTGCGGCCTTAATATAGGAGCCTTATTAATTTCAAGAGGATTTTAGGGACCCATCATACTGTAGTTATAATCATGAACCTCAAAAATATGAGAAGGAACCCCCAAAAAAGTATAGGTACTTATTTAAGCCGCTACGTTACACAGCCGCCTGGATCAGGATCCAAGTCCACTTCCGAGCCCCAGCAATCACTGCTGAGCTTCGTGTGCCTGCTGACAAGAAGCCCTGAACCGGATACGAAGTATTTAGGTGTTTTTTTTTTGAGCCCCTTTTCCTCCCACAGCAACTATTTAGGGTTTAGGGTTTAGGGTTTGACTCCAGAACCACCAACAAAATCCCAAAACGCTACCCTTTGTAATAGTCGTAATCTGCTAACGCTAGACTAATAACAGTAACTCCATGCCAAAATACAAACCAGAATAAGAACAGTATGACAAGTAGTGGCAGCAGGTTCATGCTAAAACAAAAACCATAATAACAAGAGTACATAAGCCTTTTTGCTGCAGGCTTGCAAGCAAGAACGCCTGGTAGTTAGCCACTCGTCCGCCAGCTAACACTGTATATAAACCCAAACCCGAAACCCTAAACCGAAAAGTATTAAGTATCAACCCTAAACCCTAAACCCAAAACTAGCAACTTGTAAAGATCCCCGCCAAACCCAGCTCTGCCGGCTGGCGCTCATGGGCGTTCGGTCGGAGGCCTCGATCTCCTCTCAAGATGCTTTTTAGCAACTTCAAGCTGAGGATTTAGGGTATTCGGGTTTTTGGGATTTTGGGGTTGAAGGGTTAGGGTTCAAGATGCTTTCGATCTGATAAGATTTAGGGTTTTAATGTTTAAGTTTTTGGGTTCAGCTGTCAACCGCGCGGCTGACAGCTGACAGACCCCTGAGTCCGACCGAGAGAGAGAGAGAGAGAGAGAGAGAGACAAAAAAAGAGAGAGATAGAGAGGGAGAGGGGTTCAGGGTGTAGAGTCCTGCTTCGCTTGCCAACCCGACGATTCTAAAGTGGGCTGACGACCACGTCATGCAGGTTGTGTAGGCTTCTCTTTCACAGAACTGTCCCACAGCCCAGGCTCCGAGCCGTCTCACCCCGCGCAGCACCAGGTGCTTAAAACCCAAGTCACAAGCACCTGCTTATGGCTTCGTCGGGTTTCAAGCGAGCTGTTCCTGATAAAGGCTCTACCACGCTACACTCAACTTGCTCCGGGGCTGGGGTTATGGCTAAACTCAAGGAAAGTTGGAGTTTATCAGGTTTGGGCTGCCTGTAACGGCAGATGATCAGACTACAGCATGTCAATTTTGGAAGAGGGTTTAGGAGAGTTTCAGCCTTCGGATCTAAAGCTCAAGAACCCTTCCGCTTGAAGGATCAGGAAGGCCGCAAATGAGCCTGTAAGTACGAAAACCCAATTTATTAGACATTCCTGCTAGTCGCTGCCGTTAAGCCCTAGCCGTTGACACTAAAACAACACCCGAAATCCCTGATTTGTTGTAGCTCTAAACCACAAAAATCCCTTTTGCAACTGGCCTACAACGACTCCGCCAGGTTCAGGCAGGGCCACAAAAATCCCTAAACCCTGAGACCCCAACACCTCCGCGCTCGATCCTTGGATAATTCTGGAAGCTCGGCTCGGAGAGGGACCTGCGTTCCAGGACTGTACTGTTGCAGTTGGTGTAGAACAGGGGTCGGAACCGGAAAAAATACATGTTTCTGGTTCGGGCTCCTTATTGCAACTTTCGCACAAAACAGGGTTAACCCCACACCTCACATCCTTTACTCCCCCCTACGCTTTCAACCCATTTCGCAGCCCGCCTAACAAATCAACCCTTAAATCCCACAATACACAAAGCACCTCCCAAAATCCACACAATAAGCCCGAAAACAAAGCAACCCACCAAACCAATACAATTATCCATAACACAACCCAAAACCCAAAGCGCCTAAACAGTACTCACCCTAATCCATAAAATAACCAATATCCTAACATGAGGTGTGGGGTAAGACCCTAATAGAAAACCACCCCGAAACCAAAGTTGCGAAGCCCCTCTTCCAAATACTTACCACTTTCCAGATATGGCGGCTTGCGGCATGCTGCGGCTATAAGCTGCGACGTACATCTGACATTTCACGTTCATGACCCTACTTCGCTTGATCAAAGCAATGTAACATTTGAAGTGCAATTGGTGCATGATGTGGGGCACGGCGTCGCCCAAGTCAAGATAGTTGGTTGAAGACATGTCCCAGCACAGCAATGTCGGCCGCGTCCCTCATGGCTTGCCTAAAATTCTTCCTAGGGACGGTACTTGGTCCGATGCAAGCAGTGTCCCAGGGCAAAGAGCTGGAAACCATTATGAGGCGTTCGTACGCCAGAGGCTCACCGGATGTCACGCGCAGGACGCTGCAAGGTTTATTGCACTATGAGAAAGAACTGGTCATCAATATCACCCCGAAAGCCTGAATCCCTAAACCACCCAAAAATCGAGACCACCTGCCCAGGCTTCGGGGTTTTTTGGTTTGGGTGGGTTTCAAGCTTTGGATGTCTCGCTCTTGTCTTGAGATTTAGGGTTTAGGGTTGGGGTTTAGTGTGTGCCTTGCCGAGATAGTAGGGCATCGCCGCCCCATCTCGCTCGCATGCCTGCGACGCGTCAGCAACAGCCCAGATCGCACATCGCACGGCCCTTCTCCTAAAAAACTGTTAAGCTCTGCTACGTGAGTCGTTGACGACTTGATTGAGCCTCTGTCAGTTGGGCAGAGTTCTGCTCCGAACCTTGGGATTTGGAAGAAACACAACATCCAATCTTTCACTGCTCCAACAAGCTGGCTCTTAGAGGGGCTTTAAACTATAGAATATTTTTTAAACTCCTGCACCATGTGCTGATGAACCTTCAACCTCTGCAACCCCCATATTCCAAGAACGACCTGACGGCCTTCACCAAGTTTGAGCGCAAGGTGAACATATGGAAAACCCAAACCCCTGAAGACATCCTTAAAGCCTGTGCTTACATCAAGTCTGCATGTCGTGCTTAGATACTTCTCGACATCTTGGTTCAACCTTAAGACTCTCATCCGCCGCGGGCGAAACTGAGTTTCGTAGAATCTTGTTGAACATCTACGAGATCACGACCACAAACCCACACATCCCAATCGAAGAATCACTGAAGCAACTTCAATTGCAGAACGCCGGTCCTCCATGCTCTCCGCACGAAACCTGAAGCCATATCGCAAATCCGCAACCAAATTTGGGCACCCTTTCGCAGTATAATTCCCCAAAACTCTACCCTAAACCCAAACCGCAAGCCCTAAAGTTCCCTTACTTCACGGACATGCCTTTACTTATACGGGATGCACTCTTTATGATTTTAAAAAGGGATTTCTAAAGCTTAACACCTATCCCTTAACTCAGTGGTATGGGGATCTCTGGGCTTCGGCCCCTGATAAAATGTAGGGGCCTAAATAAGGGTTTAGGGTTTAGGGTTTAGGGTTTAGGGATTCTCTTTTTGGGGGTTCCTGAATATGATTAGAGTATAAAGGGCCCCAAAACCCTATTTTAATTAAGGCCCCTAAGCCCAAAACCCTTATAGTAGCCTTTATGCCTGTTGTGCCCTTTGAAACCCTCTTCTAGTTATTAAGGCCCCTATAGTACCCTGGGGCACCTCAACGGCCTCCAGATAGGCGGCAAAAGGCAGCTTCAGCTCCTGAGCAGAGGTGATTTAATAAACAGGGATCTTATAGGGTTCCTTTAAGGGTTTTTTTTGCAGCTCTTAGATTTAGGGTTCTTATATATATATATATATATATTATTATATATATATATATATGTATATGGAAGGCTCCTTTCAGGGTTTTGCGGTTTAGGCTTAGGGTTCCAAGGGTTTGGTGCTTGGACTTCGGGTTGAAGGAGCCCAAGAAAGTCCCTGAACAGAAACGGTGTAGGGTAATTTAGGGGCCTGCATAGCTAGAATAGGGTTTTGGGAAGTTTGGGGATAGTTTTGGGATATACCATACTATAACTATGATAAGGAACCCCCAAAGAAGTTATAGGTAATTTGAGACCACTACATTGATGTCCCTGCAAGTGGGCTGGGGCGCAAGAGCTTCTACGTAGGCGCTGTTTGAGGGTCCCGCGGAGGAGTTCACCTGTAGAGCAGTTCTGCAGGGCTCTGCAAGGCAAAGGGGGCCGGGCGAGGATCCGGGTCTTGGAGTCTCCAGGGTTGTGAGGTGTTGGGGTTTAAAGTTTTTTTAATGGTTTTTTAACACTCACACTCGGACAAAGACTGGCAAGGTCTGCAGCATCAGGGTTTAGGGTTTAGGGGTTTAGGGTTCAGGGGTTTAGGGTTTAGGGTTTAGGGGTTTAGGGTTCAAAGGTTTGGGCTTCAGGGTTTGGGGTCTTGGAGTTTTCGGACACTTGTATTGCCTTTGGGTACAACAAGCACTGTATCTTGCGGGAGCCTGGCACGAAACACGCGAAGGGATAAGTCTATCTTCCGAACGAAGTCCCCGTTTGCTGGATTTACAGACAAAATGTAGCGGCAGAACAGGAATTCAGTCTCAGATCGTATCATTAGCGGTGTGCAAGTCGTGACATAGGGTCTGAGAGTGGTTCCGCAAGGGTTCACAAGTCTGAGCACTTCCCGGAAAGATGTCACTTTAACCCCAAATCAGGGTTGAGGGCAAAGGATTTAGGACCGCTTCACGAAAGGCAGGGTTTGTGGAGACGAGTGCACAGACGGGGGGATTTTGGACGCTAACATCCCTTTGGAAGCTTTAGGCTCATGCAGTCGCGCGGCAGGGTCCGTCATGAATTGTGCACGGCCGTCTTCGTCCTTGAAGCCCAAGCTCTTGACCAAGACCTGGGTCCAGGCCACCAGTTCCAAGTCCCCAAGGACACAAAAGCCTCTATCTGAGTGTCCCTGCTTAAAAGGAGCGAAAAACCCATAGAAACACAGGGATTTTGGAGCTTTAGAGGCTGGGTTTTCCCAGGAATTCGACCGGGTTTTCCTCAGAAGGGATATATACATTGGATACATCCAATTCCCTACCCCCTCATACCCCCTATAAGCCATGGGTGTTCGGGGTGATAACGGGCATGCCCCCCGCCCCCCGGCCAAATACCTGCCATGCAGCCCTGCGATGGCCGCATTTTGCTCGCAGCTTGGAGAAGTCGGCAAAAGCCTGGGTTCTTCTTGAGGAACTTCTTTTAAGTTACCATAAGAGGGACCGGGATCTATGGAAAATAAAACCGCTTCCTATGGTTTCCTTACTCTATCATATTATGGTAACTCAAATTAAGATCCTTAGCCAGATCCCAGAAGCCGCTGCAGGGGTGAAGTGCTCGGCACGGAAGGCTCCTCGCAGGACCTGGGCGCAGTTGTCGGTGTTCTGTGTACTTGGGGGCTTAAGGTAGGAATACGTTGCCCTAACTGTCCTGTCCATAAGGGTTCTATGTCTCCTTATAGTTCAAGGCTTTGCAGCTTGGGGTGGCCACGGTTTCAGGCAGGGCTTAGGGTGGCTAAGATTTAATACCCAGTCAGGGTCACTGAGTGCAGTCCCAGCTGCGACAGGCGCACCTCGAAGCACGTACTGGCGGAAGAACTCCTCCTTCGTAGGTGCCTATCACAAAGCGAGTCGCGCAAGCTGGAGTTCCAAAGGAAGTAATGGACTTCGAAGGGGTACTAGTAGTTAGTAGTAAGCCCCCTACATCAAAGCTCCAAACCTCGTACTGCCTGCTCCAGCAGCGGGACGTCACTCGGCAGTTGCCGACAGCGCAGCAAATCCACATGGATTCCCATCTGGGCCATCCTCGCCGTTGTGCTGGTTTAGGGTTTAGGGCTCTTCGTTCAGGGTTCAGGGCATAGGGAAATTTGTTGAGCACCTTTTTCCGTCTGCTTGGGAACCCCTAGCTCTGGAACTCGCTTTGCGAGAGGCAATTTTCAGGCTTAGGGTCTTGGGTTCAGGGTTCAGGGCTGAGGGTTTAGGGGGGTTGAGGAGTGTAGGGTTTCGGTATAATATAAGTCTCATGGTTCAGACAAGCGTGGGCGCGAAGTAGACCCAAGAAGGATGAAAGTGATATGACGGATCGACTCTTTAGGTGAAGAACCCCCAAAAACCTATCTACAACCCTGTAGAAACACTACAGAAACCCTAAGGCCTACGGCCTACACCCTAGACCCCTAAACTCCTAAAGCCCTACACCCCAAGACCTACGCTCTAAAGTACCAAACGAAAAAACCTCAAGCCTCGAAACCGAGGTCAGTCCTGAAGATGCACAGGGCGGCAGGGATCGGAGTCTTTTGAACCTGGATTCTCCCACAGTAGTCTCAGAGGGAGGTTTAGGTTTAGCCCTGAGGGTTTCAGGAGTTTTTTTGAGAGTTCAGGTTTAGGGGTCAAGGTTTCAGATTTCAGGGTTTGGGGCTTCTGGGGGCCCTAAACCCTACCCTACGGTTATTTTGAAATTCCGACTTTAGGGTTCAGAGGGGGAGTTTAGATTTACGCTGTCGCAACTCGGACACCGCCCGGCGAGGCTGCTCTTCCAGGAGCTGGCATTTCAGGGTTCAGGGCTTCATTTTAGGAGTTCAGGTTTCAGCACTCACTCTCGGACATGCCTAGGCGAGGTTCCTGGTGCGCGACGAATGCACGTTGGCAACAGAAACGGCACGTATCACCGTTTCAAAAGCATTAACTCCCCTCAGCATCAAGCTTTACAAACACTCCAAGAGCTAGCAGCAGCTAGCACACAACGTCAGACTCCACTAACCGTCAGGGCCAGCAAGAGCATTCTGTCACACGATTGGCTTGCAGGCTTCTTTCTGGTCTTCAACAACTTCTGTACTACCAACTATGGCATGCAGTTGCAGCTGATCATCCACTGCACGTAGTCCATATGCATCTGCTCCTCATTTCATCCCATGTGTCCCAGGCGATCACATGCATCATGCATCCATGCATCCTCGTCTGCTGCAGCTGTACGACCCTTTGGTGGCTGTAAGTCTCATGCACTGATCTTCATCAAATGTCCTGCAGCTGACCATCATCCACTGTGTCGCAGGTGGTAGGTTCGACATGCAGAAAAACAAGTTTGCAGCTTTCTTGAATTCCTGAATACGCTTCCTTTGCAGTAAACCCATGCAGAGTGTTGAAAGTCAAACGTCATGCAGCTGACCACGCTGTATGTCGCATGCGGCCGGGCTCATCATGCAGAATATAAATTCGCTGGATTGTTGGCTTTCCATACAGTGCCTGTCAGGCCTGTTCAGCATCCCTCGGTCAACATGCCGAGTCCGCTTGGCGATCCCAGGCTCACGCATTCCACGACTGTAGTGCGCACACGCATGTACGTGCGCTTCGCAGAAACCCATGCCGCGTGCTCAGCCTCTCACTGTTGCCAGACTCATCGCGAAGAAAAACATGTTTCCATGCTGCAAAAGCCATGCCGGGCAACATGCAGGCCACCATCGCCCATTGTGTCACTCCACCTCATCATTGGTCGATTACGCACGTAGCTGCAGAAACCCGTGCCCATGTGTCCAGCCTCTCACCGTTGCCAACTTCATCATGCAGAAGAACATGTATTCCGAATTCAGAAGTGCCCTATCTTGCAGGGAGCCTTTCTCTCAACCACTGTCGCATCTGCGTCACACCAGGACGTTTGGAAGTATGACCAATCCCTCCAAGCTGTCAGTGGCTCTTTGTAGTCATGGCTCTTTGTAGTCAGGGTATCCATGGCCAAGGGCGCGAAGTAGTGGTTTCTAGACCCCGAGGGGGTTATGGAACTAAAGACGCCTAGGACCCAGAAACGACGACGACGAATAGTGAACAGCGGGTCCGTCGGAACGAAGGGTGGCAGGCAGTGGGGGCAGGGAGTAGGAGTGCCCGAATGTAGGCGGTACAGCGTAGCTGGTACTCCGGAGTAGTTTCCACCTGGGCCGAAGGTTTTTGTCTTTGCTATCGATCCCCAAACCCTTTACCATGACGTACCACACGCGGAGGCACGAAGCGGGTGCGAACCACCGCGTGGCGAGGCCAGGTGTACACGGTCGACGCCGTGCGAGCAGAAGGCAATGGAGGTGAGGTGCGGTGCCAATGCTTGGGCCCGTCGACGTACCTCCACCTTGCGCTGCATGGAGATGCACGCAAAGTCGAGCCCTGGGAAGGGCTTCTCCTCCTCGTCCAGTAGTTGGCACGCTCGGGATAGAATTTCGCGGGCATCCAACAGGACGTTGATGTGGTGGACCTGCTCCTGGATGGGGCAGGCCCAGCCTCGCAGCGGAACACCGGGGGGGAGATGATGTCCTGCTCTTCGGGACCGGAATCGGAGTCGTATGCGCTCTCGCTGCCGTACTCCTCGAAGATCGTTGGAAGGCGTGCCATCTCGAACTAACAACTTTAGACGCGGCGCAAGACAGTGCAAAGCTGTGTGAAGCTCCCGTGTAACATGTTGACTCGCTGAGTGCATCCGGACTAAACCGTTCCCGTGTTTCGTAATACTGTGCTTCTTCTTGCCAACTCTCGGCAATTGCAGCAGCTTGAGCCAAAATGGCTACGGAATTCAGGTTTAGGGTTTAGGGTTTCAAGGTCGTCTTAAGGTCTTGGGTTTAAGACAGATGGGTGTGAGGTTGAAAGTTGAAGGTTTAGACTCTCGCGGGAGGCTGTCTTTGGACTTCGGGTTTAGGGTCAAGGCTTAGGCTCCCGGTCAACGCTACGCCCCCATCTAAACAACTCTTTGCCAAAACCCAATTAAAGCCACGCCACGTCGTCGCTCAACAGCTCTTGCCTGAACAGTCTGGGGGCTGTCCCAATTGCGCCACGCTAGTATGTATGTTAGAAGCTGTGTCAAAATCACACTCAAGAGGCTACTATCATGAGCTTGCCGGTAACCGTAGTTCTCAGAGAGCGCAATACCCCTAACTAATGAATCATAGGGACTTAATATTCTGATAACTTATATTCCTTACTGAAAGGGGTACTGGGGCCTGGTTTCTTCCTGGAGGCACGGGGGTTTCGGGTTTCAAAATTTCGGCGCTCACAACCAGACGGTACAGGGATTCTGCCTCCTACTTGGCAAGGAGGAAGCCTGCATTGCAGGGTGGACAAGAAGCGCTTCGGTTTTCAGCACTCCCACTAGGCACAGCCATTCGACCATGCGAGTTCCCGCTTAAGGCTTGCATGGGCCGATATACCTGCCCGGAGAGGATCCTCGCGAAGACTCGCACATTCAGGCTCCTAGAATTATAGGGCTGATAATGTTCCTGGGACTAATCGGGCATTGAATAATTTTGTTCTTTGTGTTTGAATTAATTGTTTTAAATTTGGGACAGCCTTACAAAGGATTTGAGCATCGGAGCCTAGTCCTGGTGGAGCGGTGGTTGTAGAACACCCTATAAGAACAGCATACTCATGTATACAGTGGTTGTACCGGCAGAACAGGACCCTGTTCTTACACAGCCGTGATTGGAGGACCGCAAACCCTCAACCCTAAACCCAAAACCCTCAACCGTCGAAAATGCCGCGAAGCTGCAGGAAAGCCGCAGATTCAGCCGGAACAGAGCCTACCGAACGGTTTAGGTTTCAGGGGGGATGGTTGAGGGGTAAGAAAGGGGCTCTCGTCTTTAGAATTGGGCCTTTGGCACAATCACTTCCTGAGCTCCAGTCTGCGCATGTCCACATCCCAACTCACTAGAATAGGGCTTTGGGGTACTACAATTACAATATGGAGCCCCCCAAATAGTATTGGTGATTATTGAGGCTTTTCTTAGAGGTTTACTCGCATTGGGGATTCGGAACTTAGCACAGCCGAACGAGGCAATCAAGGGAGTACGTCGACCAGCAAGTCGAATCACCAGCAAGTGCTCCCACAATCAGATCGATGTTCCGTAGAGGGGCACGTATCCGTGCAGGTACTGTTTCCGTTTTTGTCACGATTATGAACATTACTAGGACTAGATCCCTTCTCCTTAGGATAGATATACAAGTTGAGAATACTACCGGTGCTTGACACTCCCAGACTCTTCTGACTATTTTTATTCTGTATGCGTGTACGTGAATACGTGCCGCCACACTTCTCATAACGCCAGTCATGATCGGGTCATCGTTCTGATTCTGAGCTGAAACAACACCGATCCACATGCCCTCGTTAAGACTCTGCGGCCTTCTTAGACTCTTGGCATCCGTTGCGCAAAGGACGTCCCAAGCTGTGAACCACCACACCCTGCTTCGAGCTGACAAGACGCATGGGCAAAAAATCTGATCAGAAATGGGGGCCCTGATATAGCACCTTAAATAGCAGGATCCTTGTTATAAGGACCCCAAAATAAGCTACAATACCCCCCCCCCCTATTTTCGGAAACTACCAAATGTGTCGGGCCTTTCGCCGTCGCGGACTCGACCATCCTGGGATAGTGGCACCGGCGGAACTAAAAGCTTCCCAGTCCAAGTGGTGAACATCGGCAAGGGTGCTATTGCTTTTGCTGTCGCTGCCAGGGTGTGGTTTTTTCGGGGTTGGAGGGGGGTTTTCTTGGCTTTTGCTGCGGTGTGTTTTGCTGTTGCTTCACTTTTGTCCGCGAACATCCCAAGCCAAAAGCGCAACTAACAGGCAGCTTGACACCAAGCTCATGCTGAAGCCATGCCACTTCAGGCACTGATCCCGCAGCTGCTTTTGCATGTCAGCATCGCCCGAAAACTTGGCGGCCTGGGGTTTCGGGTGACAGCCGAAGGGTCAGGTGCATCGAGCTCTGCGAAACCCTGTTGCAGTCCGGAACATACTTCAATGATTCAAGCATCTTCAAGCTGACTTGTTCATAGGA